CGAGCGTCCGTCGTGATGTCTTGGATGAGTGTATGTCAATTTTAGGGGTTGAGAAGCTTAGTATCGAGGATGTTCAGAGGATAGAGTGGAAGTCTTTGGATGAGAAAATGAAAAAATGGATTCACGCGCTGAAAATTGTGGTCAGGATATTGTTAACCGCTGAAAAGTGCCTCTGCGAGGAGATTTTTTCTGGTTTGGATGTTATTGAAGATGTTTGCTTTATTGAGGCCACCAAGGGATGTGTGATGCAGCTATTAAATTTCGGGGAAGCAGTGGCTATTGGTAGAAGGTCATCAGAGAAGTTGTTCAGAATTCTTGATATGTATGATGCACTTAAAGATGTTTTGCCTGATTTGAAGAAGCTTTGCAGTGATAAAGAAGCAGGTGACATGGTATACAGTGAGGCTCAGGGAGTTGTGGATGGGTTGGGTGAGGCAGCCATTGGGACTTTTGTTGAATTTCAGAATGCTGTTCAGAATGAGAGCTCAAGGAGGCCAATTCAAAATGGTGAGATTCACCCCTTGACGCGTTATGTAATGAATTATGTGAAGTTGCTCGTTGATTACAGTGATACACTTAATGCATTATTGGAAGCTGAATGTGAGGATGCAAAAGAAGCAGAAGCCAAGGACGCAAAGGTGGTTAATGATGGTGAAGAGCTGGAGGCCAAAAACATGAGTCCAATAGGACTGCGTTTGCTGTCTTTGATCTTGTCCTTGGAATTGAACCTTGACGAGAAGTCAAGCATGTATGAGGAGGAAGGGCTGAAATTTGTGTTTCTGATGAATAATATACTTTACATTGTTCAGAAGGTTAAAGATTCGGATCTTGCAAAATATTTGGGTGATGATTGGATCCGGAAACGTCGTGGTCAGATTAGAAAGCATGCAACAAGTTATCTTAGAGCATCATGGAGCAAGGTGTTGTCTTGTTTGAAGGACGAAGGGATTGGAGGGAGCTCAAGTAATGCGTCGAAGGTGCTTTTGAAGGAGAGGTTTAAGAATTTCAATGCTTGTTTTGAAGATATTTATAGGATACAGACGGCTTGGAAGGTCCCTGACTTGCAACTTAGAGATGAGCTTAAGATATCTATTTCAGAGAAGTTGATTCCAGCTTATCGTTCCTTCATGGGGAGATTTGGGAGTCATCTAGAGAGTGGCAAACATGCTGGAAAGTACATAAAGTACACGTCTGAGGATTTGGAGAATTACTTGTCACATCTATTTGAAGGAGTACCTCTGATTCTACACCACATGAGAAGGAAAAGCACCTAGAGAGCAGAAACGATGACGGGTACGGATCCTACTTTCAGCATGGACTAGTAGTACATTTCATGTTTGGTAATTTGTCCTTGATTTTGTTAGTTTGAATGTAATATATTTAGCTTTGCTTTGTGAAAGGTAGCCACACTTTATAACACATCCTGTAATAATTCTTTGTATGTACAATATATCCTATTTTGTGAAATTAATTATGCTTCATGCTTTCAATGCTGCTGCTTAACTACACTACAAACTAATTTTATATAAAGTTTCAAACTTGGCACAATGATTTAACAGGTTTGAATTTATTGAAAGTTTATGTGTTAGTCTTATGGATGTATTCAGTCTTCAAGGTTGTTTACATGGAGCACTACGATTATTCTTTTGGACTGTTGGGTGAGGATGAGCCAGCTTCCCACTAAGAAAAGAAATCCCGGTTTGTATCTAGATTCAAGGATTATGAATTTAAAAAAGAAAGTATGAAGCTGATATTTTCTTTGTATGATCTTGCAACTTAGAGTTATCATTTCCTTAGATATTTTGGATGATTTGGTTATGAACAAGGTTGGTTGCCTAATTCTTGCATGCACATAATTGTCTTCTCTTTTGGATCATGTCTTTCATTGCATTCATCTTGATTTGATTCACAAATGAACAAAGCTCTCCACGCTTCCAGGGCCACCCAAAATGTGTGACTCCAAATTTCAGTCTGGCCCCTCTTGTCGCGTGCTTATCAAAATTACTTGGTATTCAGGTATGTCCTCTCAAAGTAGGCTACAATTCACTTAAAATAATTTTTTTTCTTTTCTTTAAAGCAAAAAGAAGTTGGTCATATGATACTTCATTTTGTTATGAAAGATTAAATCTTGCTGTACGTGCGTTCTTTCTCCTTTAGAATTGTTGAATAGGTTAACCTGAATATTCAAAGAAGCTTGTCTCATTAAAAGATACACATGTTAATGCTACATTGGTACTGCACACAGACCGCATGCTTCCACAGAAGGTGTCACAAAATTCTTGAAACCTTCAGTTAGGGGTTCCTCTTACAAAAGGTTTGCTTGCTTCATCTAAGCTATTATTCTACAAACAATCTTGTGCATTTAAAATGCCACATTGTGAATCCATGTTACCTGATTGATGTTGCCAGTATTTGTTGCTTGCTTCTGAGATTCCTGTCAGTTGATGTTAATTTGTTCTGCTGCTGTTATAGGAGTTAGGTTCACTGGTTGGTGCCGTTTCAAACCCAAAAAGTCCATTTGCTGCTGGTGTGGGTGGTTCAAAGGTTTCCTCAAAGATTGGAGGGATTGAATTGCTTTTGGAGCAGGTTGACATTTTGCTTTTGGGTGGGGAAATGATCTTCACATCCTACAAAGCTCAAGGTCTTTCAGTGGGATTGTCATTGGTAGAGGAGGACAAGTCATATGTTGCAACATCACTTCTTGAGGAGGCCAAGGCCAAAGGAGTTAGCCTGTTGCTGCCTAGTGATGATGTTTGTTGTAGGCAAGTTTGCCCTTGATGCCAACTGCCAGGTCTGCTTCTTAAAGCGCTGCTCCTTTGGAACTTTCTATGTGCATTCTGAAAAGATTAAAATTCTTCAATTGCGTGCACCTTATTATGCTGATTATCTCAGATGCTTTGGTCTTCGTGCATTTTTGGCCAAATAGTGAGTCGAAAAGCTGAAAGTTTGTGTTTATTATCATAAGTCGTGCCGGCATCTGCTATTCCAGATGGCTGGATGAGACGGGATATTGGACTGGACTCTCTCAAAAGATTCAGTGAGGTCTTGGAGACTACAAAAACTGTAATATTGGATGGAGGCCTTTGAATTTGTCATCAGAACCGAGGCTTGTAAGCTTGGATATGGAATTTGGTTTCATATTTTTCATGAATGCGTCGGATAAGATTAGCCCTTGGGTTGGGGGTTGGGGAAAGAAGGCAAGATGGAAGCACTCTGGTTGGATTGTCTATTACGAGGTCAAATGAGATCAAGATACTTTTGTTATACGAAGAATTGCTAACGGAGAAAGGCGTTGCAACTGTACTATGTTGCAGGGTTGCGTGTTTTGCGATTGGGCCTGCACCTTTCTTGAGGAATACTTGACACGTAATACCGTTATTGTAACCTGCATTAACTATTATAATAACGTGTTTTTTCTCTCTTTTTTTTCCCTTGTTTTGGTGTTGGGGAAGGAGGAGAGGAGGAGGAGGAGGGGGGTTGGTTAACGAAAGGAAGATTATGTTGTCGATAGAAATGCAAATATTTTTTGCAGGCCACTGAAAAGCAAGCAAGCAGACCTGAGCGCAAGGGACTCAAACATCACTGGAGGAGATTCGATTGCAGTTGCGGAGAAGGTTGGAGTTGCTAGTGGGCCAATGTCCACCGGGGATGGTGCCAGTTTGGAGCTCAAGTATGATTGCTCTTGACCAAACTACTCCAGTTCCTGCGCAGGCAAAAACCAAGACTAAAATTCTTGTTAAACCTAATGCCTTTGTTTATGGTATTTGGGGTTTGTAAAGGGGAGATGTAGGAAGAGAGGAGTTGATTTCGATGTGCGCATTTGGGTGAATGTAAGGTCTGATTTTAGCCTGCCCTTGTGAGATCATCCGAACAAACAAAGCGAAATGGTAAGCAAAGTTTTATTTTGTACCAAGAGTAATTTTATTTTATGTTTTGGGGGAAAAAGAAAAGAAGCAAAATTTTTATGTGGAGAGAATCCATAACCGCAATAAACATAAGGGGTTTTGATGGGGTGTCGGACTTGGGAACGTTTTGGAAGCTAGGAGTTATTTGGGAAAGAATTGAAATCGTAGTAGCTGAGCGCGCTGAATGATGAACCGACTCTCGGACATTGAAAATTATAGTTGCAAAACCGGTAACTAAACAACCTCTGCTGGCTCCCCCACCCCCCCCCCCTCCCAACACAAGCAAAAACCCGAAGGATCGATAAAAGCGTATAGAACCAGGAAACCGCAGCAGCAAGCCATCCATTCCAGCTCTTGATATGTCATAAAAAAACTAGATCGGAGTACTTGGAAATGGATGGACGGCACTGGACTCCCTAATGTGGCGGAAATTGGTGGGGGAGATTGGTTCCAATGGGCCTAAACAAAACCACTGGCTAGGCGAAGACGGAACGGTTCGAAAGTTTCTTGACCCAAAAACGAAAGATGGGAGCAGAAGTTTCTAGATTCTCCTTTCCATTCTGAAATTCTAGCCAAAACTACTGGCTGGACGAAGACGGAATGGTTCGAAAGTTTCTTGACCCAGAAGACAGAAAACAAAACATTGGGTAGCAGATTCTCCTTTCCATTCTCAATACCACTCTAGTCTGCCACTACTACCGTACTAGCAGTAGTATATGAGTAAGTAGTGGGTGTACGTAATTGGCACTCTCTTTTTATTAGTGAAGTTTAAAACCTCCATCACCATCACCTAAGCCGCGGACAGTAGAGTGAAGCTGTTATAAGTCTCCCAGCATCTCATCCATCAGTGTGTATGTTTGCTTGATCGTCATCGTCTCTCCCAACTCTCATTCAATTCGAGCTTCCTAGTATTCTCTTTTTCTTTTCTTTTTTTTTTTTCTTTGGTTTTGTTTTGGGTGTAGTTTAGAAGTTAAATAAATCAATCAACCAATCAATTTATCATTTTTTGTCCCGTTAGTTTGGTTTACTCATGGAGTAGTAGTTACTAACATGTAATCCAATCAATTTTTTTGCTGGTTCTCCCCTCCCATCCAGGTTACAGATTCAATCATCGCCCGGAATAGCAAGTAGTACTAACAGTAACTAGAATTACAGTAGGTATGGCGACGAAGAAGAGCGTGGGGTCACTCAAGGAAGCTGATCTCAAGGGGAAGAAGGTTTTTGTGAGGGTGGATCTCAACGTTCCTTTGGACGACAACTTCAACATCACCGACAACAGAATCCGAGCCGCTGTCCCCACCATCAACTACTTGATCGGCTGCTCCGCTAAAATCATCCTCGCTTCTCACTGGTGCGTATATATCTTCACTCCCTTACTATTTTCTACATATTCTTTGCTGCCGCATTTCCTGTTTTTAAGCCCATGTTAGATGTTACTATTCTTCCTGATCACTTGAAATTTTAGATCAATGAATATTTCATTTTATTCGGTCCTCTCTTTTTTTTCTTTTTTTTTTCCATTCTAAATTTTGCTCTTATTTTATGGCTCTGCAAATTCTTTCTAATGCCTTTATGTTTGTTAGATCAAGTGTTGTTGCAAAAAAAGACATTAGACCCCCTTTTTTTGTGCTACGAAGCTACGGGTTAACTCCTCAACTGATGTGTCAATTCTCTTTACTCCCTCTAGCCGGCCTGAGTGAAGGGAGGGTGCCCAACTGGCTATTGCAGTTAGGGGCAGTCAAAAATGTACTCCAGGCTGTCCCCGTGAGCCCAAAAGACGTGAGGGGGAGAATAGACAAAAACAGTGAGTGAACCGGCAATTATATGATCATCTGGTCTTCTTTTTTGCATAGAATGAAGCTCTTTTTTTTTGGGGAGTAATAATATTTGATTCAATCACTATAAGTATCCAAGTTTCTCAAGTATAAGATGTCAAATAAAACAATCGGAAACAAGAATGAACTTTTTTTATTTGATCATCCGAATGTACTTGTTCTATTGCCTCGTCTCGGGATTATCTTGAACATTCCTTACATAAATTGCTTGGGGGTGAAGTGGTGAACTCCGTGGATGCCATATTATTTGTATTCACTATGAATGGAGGTTATTTGCTCTTGTAATTGTCAGCTTTTTGCTTCGTAGCAAATGAAATGATGTATTTGCCTGGATATTGGTGTCAGGGACGTCCAAAAGGTGTCACACCAAAATACAGCTTGAAGCCTCTTGTTCCCAGACTCTCTGAACTCCTTGGGGTGGAGGTCTGTTGTTTAGCGTACTTCCGAATTTTACTGTTTTTCTACATTAATTTTCACAGGATAAGGGGGCTCTCAGCACTTACCTTCTATATCCACACTCAAGTAGGTCATTATCGCAAACGATTGTATTGGTGAAGAAGTAGAGAAATTGGTGGCTTCCTTGCCAGAAGGTGGAGTTTTGCTCCTGGAGAATGTCAGATTCCACAAAGAAGAGGAGAAGAATGATCCTGAATTTGCAAAGAAGCTGGCTTCTCTTGCAGACTTGTATGTCAATGATGCTTTTGGAACTGCACATAGAGCCCATGCTTCCACCGAAGGGGTAGCCCAGTATTTGAAGCCTGCGGTTGCTGGATTTCTGATGCAGAAGGTTTGTTTTTCACTTTTGAGTGTTACTCTCTTCGCGCACATGCGCTTGCAGTGTAACTTTTACCCTGTGCTTTCGTTCCTCAGGAGCTTGATTATCTCGTGGGAGCTGTGGCAAATCCCAAGAAACCATATGCTGCAATCGTTGGTGGTGCAAAGGTTTCAACCAAGATTGGTGTAATCGAGTCACTGTTGGCTAAGGTTGACATCCTCTTACTGGGTGGTGGAATGATCTTTACATTCTACAAGGCCCAAGGGCACTCTGTTGGATCCTCGCTTGTGGAGGAGGACAGGCTTGATCTTGCCCTATCCCTCATTGAGAAGGCCAAGGCCAAAGGAGTTCCCCTGTTGCTTCCCACTGACGTAGTTGCGGCTGACAAGTTTGCTCCTGATGCAAACAGCAAGGTCAGAAATCAAACCCATCTTTGACTCTCTTCCCCTATGCCCAAACTTGTCGAAATAGTTGGCAAGAGCATTGATATAGATTGAAGTAGTTAGGTTGTGATCGGGTATAGTAAGAATTGGTGCTTTTATATATATTTTTTGAAATGGATCAACTCATCCTGCAGGTTGTTCCAGCTTCCGGAATTCCTGATGGTTGGATGGGATTGGATATTGGACCTGATGCTATCAAGTCATTTAGTGAAGCTTTAGATGCCACTAAAACCATTATTTGGAATGGACCAATGGGGGTTTTCGAGTATGACAAATTTGCCACAGGAACAGAGGTTTGACATAGTAGTATTTAATTGTACCTTAAAAGGTACATTGATGGCGATTGCATATATGAAAAATAAATGCTTTATTGATGTTGTTTGTATGTGTCAGGCTATTGCGAAAAAATTGGCTGAGCTTAGCGGGAATGGAGTGACAACAATCATTGGAGGTGGTGATTCTGTAGCTGCTGTGGAGAAGGTGGGGCTTGCAGACAAGATGAGCCACATTTCAACAGGTGGCGGTGCAAGCTTGGAACTTCTTGAAGGGAAATCTCTCCCTGGAGTACTTGCCCTTGATGATGCTTAGAAGAGCTCTTTTTTTTTTTTTTTTTGGCAATACGCCTACCTCAGATATTCGCTGCATATCTTGCTTTGCCCCTGAGCGGATTAGATCTTGAAAAATAGCTGGCCGTGTCTTGGAAATAAATTTTGCCCGTTGTTATGCATTACTTTGTGCTAATGTTGGTTGGTTCTGAAACTGCTGCGGTTTTTGAGGTTATGTTTGCTGTTCGAGTTTGCGACCATAATCGAATCCTGCTCTGCGCTGCTGCTAAGCTATAAACTTCGGTGGGCGGACAATAATGTCAATCACTTTTAAAAGATCTTTATGAGCACTGATCCAGCTCTTATTCTCATGTAAGGCGGTGCGTGTACATTATACCGGCGGTTGCTAGACTGGCCGCAGTGAATGATCCGATCCGTTAGAACTGGATTTGCCTCCGTGGACAATTGACGTTGACTTCCCATCGTTTCAGGGAAAAAAAAGGACAATGACGTTGACTTGTAGATGCGGCATGGACATGGAGAAGGAAGCAGGTGAACTCCTAATTATTACAGTAGTACTTATGTAACCAGCCGGTGATAGACAAAATTAATGAATGAATCCGTCAGCAAAAGTGCAAGCAATTTAGCATCCCGGGATTTTTTTTTGGTTGTGAAACGAGGACGATCTTGACCCGACCCGAGATACGTTGTTGTTGTCCCGCATGCGCGACCCGCCTTGTGACTGGTGAACTATATTATATACCAGTATATTATTTTTTTCAATTTAAAATTGGTTTCCGTAGGAGGTTTTAGCCTTCGCCGCGGCCGGTGCTGTAATCAGGAATCACGATCGAAGAGGATGACGTCTGGCCATTCACAATATTATGATGCGTATTTGATACTGCGACTGCTACGATTACTAGTAGTCGTCGTCATTTATTCTCCAAAAGTTGTAGTAATATCCAGTCGGCGTCGGGGTGGGGCAATCTCAAACGCTTTCTGTCTCTGCGACCGCCACCGCCACCGCCAACGCTACTGCCTCACTGCTTTTCTTCTGCTTCGTCCTTATCCTCCATCACAGATGCATCCTCAGTTGCAACCACTTCCACTCCTGCTCTTTCAGGTAAAGGTTCTTACGTTCCCTTCTCTTATTGTTCCTTTCCGGGCTTTAGCTCCACCACTGCTTCTTATTATTATTATTATTATCATCATTAAAATATTATCTTTTCTTTAATATATGGTTTTGTGGATTAGAGGAGGACGTCATGATGGGATATGTATTTGGGAAGAAGAAGGCCACTCAAGTTGCTCACTCGTCGGTATTCCTCCCTCTTTTCTTAAGTCTTCCACTTTCTTTTTTCGCTTCGTTTTTTTCAACCTTTTTTTTTAATAATTATGTTGGTTGCTCTTTCCTTGCTTTGTACTAACACTAGTACTCTATAGGAAATGATTGATGAGCACCCCGTTTAGTTTCTTGCTTTCCATTTCTCATGCTTCTGCTGCTGCACTTGATTGCTCGGAAGCATCATGTTCATCTATTGAATATCTAAATGCTGATCAATGTATCCAGCTTATTCCGACTAATTACCTCTGAAGTATATCCTAAATATATTCTCCTATTGCTGTAGCTTGTGGAAGCGTGTTGTCCAAAAAGGTGACTGGTTATTGATGCTACTTGTGGCAACGGCCATGATACCTTGGCCCTTGTCAACTTGGTTGCTGATAACACCATACATGGAGGCCGTGTTTATGCTATGGACATTCAGAAAGTTTCTTTGGAGACTACTTCACTTTTACTGGATCAGTCTCTTACTCCAGATCTGGTGACACACTGATGGATGCTTCTGGACATTAGCTGTTTAAATCTTCAGATTTTTTTTTGCCCCCATCTCTGTATAGTCTGTTCAATGCTTGCCCATCGTTTGGCATTTTTATTCCTCGTCTTTATAGTTCACAAAAGTTGGCTCATGCATTTTGTACATCTGCATCGCTCTAAAATATTTTCAGATTCTACACAATGTATGAAGCCTAGAGATTTTGAAGACTACGATTGACTAAATGCATGCAATTAGTGCAATGTCATTTCCAGAGTTTGAGAGATCACTCTTAAGCAAAACAATTTGAAGATTTTCTAGTCCTTGCAGCCACATTAGCTGGCCAAGCACTGCATTTTACGTTTACATTTAATTCTTCAGAAATGCAACTGGACTTTAGAATACTAGAAGCAGGTCCAGCTGTAACCATCACTTCCTACGCTTGCATTTCTTAATATGCACCCCTTTTGTTCTCTTAACCGCACGTTTTACTAAATACCTCTGAAACCCAAAACTGAGGTACATTTGTTTGGTTTGAAATTTAAAGTGACTAAAATCTCTCTCTCTCAACGTAATTGAACCTTGTAAAGACTGGCTCTCCCATTTCACATTATTTCTAAATTTTATTGTCATGCTATTAAATGCAGAGAAAGCATGTTGAGCTGTTCCTGATGTGTCATAGCAAAATGGAGGAAGTTGTTCCCAGTGATGTTGCTGTAAGGTATTACTTCAGCTAACTTATGAGGATATACAGTGTGAGCTGTTAAAGTGCAATAATAAGCGTTGTCATTCCTAGTTGCACTACCATGATTGAATTGATGCCCTTTGCTGTTGCAATCTTTTATTCGTGTCATATTCTTTTTCTGTGCCTAGTGTAGGTTAGTTGTGTTCAACTTAGGATACCTTCCAGGAGGACAAAAGGCGCTTATAACAAGGTCAGAAACAACTTTACTTGCGTTAGAGGCTGCCAAGAGAGTACTAGCACCTGGGGGCCTCATCAGCATAGTGGTTTATGTCGGCCATCCTGGCGGAAGGTGATCATTTACTTGTCTAATTTTTCTCTTCAAGGATTGTTCTATGTATACATGAGATGGTGTTTTAGACATTCCGTCGCTTGAAATTGAGATAATTGCACATGGATCCCTTTGTGCTTATGATTTTTGGATGAGTAATAAGCTTGAATAAGCATTGTTCCTCCAACTGTTATGCAAAAAGCAGCATCCTAAAGGGTGAGATGATTGTTTTGCTCTGGATGACGTTAAATACTTAAAAGCCCTTTAGGAGTGCAGTGGCTTTTGGTCTAGTGCTTGTCAAATCTAGAGCTTCAAATTTTAGCTTTGCTTGGAAGTGCTTTCTAGCCTGAAAGAAGCAACTAAATCAGTACTTTTGAAATTTCATCATACAATGCACCACACTCCCACACGAGCTCTTAGTTTTTTTTGTAGAAATTGACTCCAATACATGTGTGATGGTAGTGCCTTCTATTTTTATATGCTTGTTGTCAGTTGTTGCGCAACTGTTATTGATGTTTCAGACATTTGTCTCCTGTATTTGTTATAGGGAAGAGTTTGAGATGGTCCAGGCATTTGCTTCTGAATTACCAGTTCAGAATTGGGTCTGCACCAAGCTCCAGATGTTAAATAGGCCGTCAGCTCCCATGATCATTCTTCTATACAGCAGATAGTGAATAACAAAGATTAATGTAAAATCTTTGCTTTCTAATTCTTCCCAAGTAACTTTTGTACTGAATATCCTGCTAAACCATTTCTGTTGACACCATATTGAACATCTCTTAAAATCTTGTTTTGCCAGTTTAAGTATATAATGGATTGGTTTCGATGTATATCAGGTAGAAAGGAAAGAAAGCATGAAATGGTAGCAATCCTTCTGTCGTACCAAGAACAAAACCATGAGATGAAGTAAATGACACCAGAAATGCTAAAGATTTTTTTATTACTCTGGATGCCATGTGAACTGTATAAGAGCCTTGCCTAATTGCACATTTAAGGTGGAGTGCAAGGCAAGTAAGGCTTATCATAAACTACAGGAACAATAACCACAAAAAGAACAGAAGTGAAAACGGTGGTCTATACCCAAATTTACAAGGGAGATTTTGTGATGATCAACCAATTCTCAACAGGAAGAAGAGCAAAGGCTAGCATCCTTAATTTTGTAACGATATAGGACTCGTTTCCTTCTAAATTGTCCGTTTTCAATGGTGATCACAACCTTCCCAGGTTCATTGCTTTTAAAAGAGTTACGAACAGATCCTTCCTGCCACCCTATCCTCCTCTCTTTCTTGACAATGATGGTATAAGAGCTTTCATTGCTTGGAACAAATTCCTCTTTGTAATTTACCTCCCAACCTATCACAGTCAGGTCCCACACCAAAGTGCTTCCGGCCTTTGTTTCCAAGAAAAATAGAAGCATTTTAGGTCACTGTAGCTATGCAATGTGAAAAGACAGACACTAAGGATGGACTAAATCCATGAGATGCTCGCTCGTTTACCTTTGGTGTAGGGATCTCGATGGTTTCAGTTGATCCTGCCTTGACGGTGACATCAAAAACACCATCGTCCGTGGAAAAATCAGGATCGTTCTCTCTCTTGAGCCCTCCATAATTGACTGGGATTTCCTCCCCAGCAATGTACCTGTAGTCAGGTCAGCCAAGCAATGCGGACAAGATCATTTAATTTTGAAACCACAGACAGGATACAGATATAGAAAATTTTATTACTTGAGAAGGGTTTCTGTGACCCTGTTTGCACGCGCAAACACGAATTTGCTCTTAGTCCTTTGTGTCAAGAAAGGAGATAGAAGTGCGTTGAAGGCATAATACCAGAACGGGACGTTGATGAATATCTACAAAAGCAATATGTACTTTTTGAACACAGGAATGAGTTCTCAAAGGATAGCAATGAAGATGAGAAAAATTACAAAAATAGAGAATTGAACACAAACGCAAGTTGCTTGACTCACATTTGTGGCTACAAATTCAGGATAGTTTTCCTGAAGCAGGGCCACAGCTTGTCTAAGGGCAAGACGGAGATCCTTCCTCGATGGTCCGGGGCATCCTTAAGATCGTTGATTTGGAGCAATGAGGAAACTCCCTCGGCCTGAAATCGAGCTTCTGAATCTGCCTCTCCATCAACTGCAGCCTCCACCTTAAAAATTTCTCCCGGCCCTCTTGTGTTCCAAAAGTCTTATTGTACAAATCATCATTCCCAAATACTGCATAGACATTGTAACAAACCGGGTGGCCTCTACGGTCCACTCCACTCATGGAGCACATTGACTCATAATCACACCCAAAATCTTCTTCCAGAATCGAGTCAATGTTATTCTCCTTCCGATATTGAAGGGTGCTTCTCAACATTTCCCAGGCATCATTGACCTTAAACTCTCTGGCTTTCAAGAACTT